TGCAATCCAAAATGGGCATACCACAAACTAGGCAAAAGCTGGTGTTTTTTATGGGCACTGACATATGGATTTATTGGTCGTGGATTACTATAGTATTATATATGTATTTCACAAATTGTTTGGATTAAATATAAGAAGTATAAATAATGCACGAAAATATGCTTAATATTTAACTGTATTTATAGATTTCAAAGTATTTATTATATTTTTTCAAAAATCTCGATATTTTGGTGCCAGGCCAGCACTGTCTATATCTGTATCTTTTTTTTTTAAATAGTTGCTACTTCTTCCTCGAATCGAATAAATTAATTTCCGAAAAGCACAAATACAAATAGTACACACTCGTATTTCCCAATACACATATTTTGCATTCATGGCCGGCTAATCAAACTCAACTCAACTACCAGAAAGCGGAAATAAAAGCGGGCAAGGAAACGAAATTTGCAACAATGAGGAGCACACACACACACATGTACACATTTTCCGCCCCTTGTACATAAATGCATTCCGCTGGGGCTAGATGAATGTAGGGGAAGGGGGGAATGGCTCCAAACTGCACACAAGCATAAATATAAGCATATGCACACACATGACACACATTAGTTGTGGCCCCGGCATTCATTTCATTTTTATTTTGCACTCACTTTTCACTGTTAGTTATGTCTGCTTGCGGTTTCCTTCTTTTCACGTTATTTATGTTTATTTGCATATATTTTATTTTATTTTATTTTAGTTTGCTTGCGAAACGAGCGGAGAGGAAGTGCGGCTAAAACACGCTCATTTATCTCAGCATACACCACGCAAAATTTGTGGTTTAACCAGATGAAACATAGCATACTTCTCGGCACCCCGCGGTGAATATACAATTGCATTTGAATTTCTTTTCATAGGTGTGGTTAGGGGGGCTAGGGAGTAGTTTACTTAATCATAAACTTTAGATTTTATACTAATAAAAAAAAAACGGATTAAAAAGAACCGTCTCTTAACAGGCAAACTGGGTTTTTGCTCCATTTGAACCCTTTAGTATTCACCCAGTTGATGCTGGTAACCTTATTTAAAACTACTTCAGGTGACATACATAGTTAAGTATATCTAATCCTTCAGCTTCTTCCGGTATCGAGGCGTGGCTTCCGTAACAGAATCCTCCTCTTCCTGCTTCACCACCACATTTTAGTCAATGCTTCTCGGGTTGTGACTTCGACTCTTCGGGCTACGATAGAGTCTTGAAGGTTAGACGTCCCATTAACAAGGATTTCTCCATGTGATGTACGCTTCTTTTGCTTTTTTCGTGTCATGGGTCATTTTGTTAAAAATTGTTAAAAACACTTGCACGTGCTGCTCCTGTGCTGAAAAGCTATTACCTGTTGCTTATTTCAAATCCTATTTTAGCCTTTTTCTCAAAGCTTCAAACTAAAACAAAGCAGAAATTAAATTACCAGAAATTATAATTAGATTTGTCATATTTTAAATTAAAATACGTTTTATAATTTTAGTATATTTAAGATAAAACACTTTATTATTTACCCCTTTAGTAAATTTTCTGGCTTCTTCCCTGTTTCTTCATGCGATAAATAAGCACACAAGTATCTGTAATGGTCAGAACGTGTAGAGGTGCAAATTTAAAGCTCCTGAGTTTCTTGAACTCTGCCAGGGTGTCTGCTTAAATAAATAGAAGCAAATGCCAAAGGCAACGTGATACAAACTGGTGTGCCTTTATAAATCTTTGCATAGACTATAGCAACTTGTTTACGATAATGGTGTTCAGGCGTACATATATGCAAATGCATTTGTGGGTTATAAGCTGACCAACAAATTCCAACCAATCGGATAAACAATTAATTGGGAAATATACTAGAAATGTTAATAAAGTTAATAAAGTAAATAAATATAAATAATTGTATAATAGAAGCAGCTACAATTTTTGCATAAATTTCGCTAGAGAACAAATTATTAAAAATCCTTTCACTTGGACACAACTCCAACCTGCTGGCAACAGCTGTGCTAGATAAACGACAAACGGGGAATGCAACACTCCCATACTCCATTAGTGAAATTTTCTAACCATTTTGTTGCCATTTGTAAACAGAACACCCAGATTTTGTCCTCTCCCCTGGAAACGAGCGTGTTCCATAGTCATGTTTGATTTGCAATTTTGCACAATCAAACTCTTGGCAAGGCTTGCAGGAGGCAGGAACTCGAAATGGAAATGGGAGTGGAAATGGAAATGGCACTGGAACTCGGGTTATAGGATGCAGGAGCCAACACAGTCTGCAAATCTCCAAAAATGCCAATAAATTTGTGCTATTGACTATGTCTGGCTACAAATTTGTTGCCTGCATATTTTATTTGTGTAGCGTATGTTGTGAAAATGCAAATGCAAATACTCAACCCTTTTTGTGAACGTAGGACCAAGGATAGGCGTTTTAAAATTGCAAAAAACTATTGGCTTATATTTCACAAGATATTTTATTTACCAAACAAATTTTCTAAGCCATTTAAATATGATTAAAATGTTAGTTGGAAAGATATTTTGTTGTATAATAGCTCACATTTGGCAAAATCTTTTATTTATTTTCGTTTGCTGGTAGAATGCTGTTTGTAGTTTCGAATTTAACTCATAATTGAAAGATTGTAGAGAAATGTATATGAAAAATATTGTTAATATAAATACATTTATTCTGTTTTAAGTGCTCATGTATTGTTAATAAAGGAACAAAGGAATAAAGTACAAAGAACTAAGCTCCCTATTATTTAACACACTATTTTAATAGATTTTCTGGATTTATTTTCCATAAACCCCTTAACTAAAATGTTAAAAAATTGCGTAAATCGCACAATACGAAACCTCAAAGGCTTTAGCTCAATGAGGAAATGATCGAAGCGTAAAATTAATGTTGTGTAAGGTATTTCCAAATCATTGATTAGGGCAGCTTTGAGCCTTTAAGCAGACCTGGCCAACGCGGCGTATGAGTGTTACGCGAATATATTTCAGCAGCAACAGCAGTCACGCAGCACTTACAACTGGGCGTGGCCAAGGTACGATGGGGCTTGTGTGTATGTATGTGCAGTCGTGTGTTATTTGGTGTAAATTATATGGCCGAAAGATGCAAAATTAGCCAAATAATGGCTGCCTAATGTGCCGGAAAGCTGGCGAGCAAAAGTTAATGGCGAAAATCCTTTAGTCCCCCGATGAAAATGAAAACATAAAACGTAGCCACTAAAAGCAAATCGAGAGGGGCTCCCATACATACATATTTGCTAATCAAATGAGTGTTAGCTGCTTCACTGGCTGCAAAGGGTGGCCATAAAGGGTTAAAGTGAGGCCAGAAAATTTTTGTGTAAATTTAGCCACAGCCCGGGGGACTTAAGGTTTTACTCCGTTGGCCATTCGTTTATTTTATTTTAGCGCTGTCAAACTTGTTTCGCGGTAATTGAACGGACTTTAAATGCCAGCCAAAAAAATTGCACAAAATGCGGGCTAACACAAACGGCTTTGCTCCGAGTTTTTTTTTTCATTACCTTTTTTATTTATTTGCATTTGATGGGCGACGACTCTAGCTGAGGTTAAGTCGGGTGGGTGGCCAGGGTGAGTCGGACCCGAATGCAGTTGGGACTGCATGGCGACTCTTATGCAAAAGAAGCAACGCCCCGCCAACGCGACGACATCGAAACTTTTGCAGCATTTTTGTGCTTTTCATTTTTGCGGCGCTTGTTTTATTTTCACTGCGTTGGCTTGGCCAGTGAGAAAGTTTGGTCATATAGAAAAATGTGTCAGGAAAAAAATTAAACTGAAAATATACAAAAAAGGAGATGGCTCAAGCTAAGCTTTAGGGGCTCGCAAGAAAAAATACCCTGGGAGATTTCTTATGTATTAAAACATACAAAAATTAAATCAGTTTATAGTTTAATGAAATGAGGAGCTTTATAAAAAATATAAGTAGATAATTTAAAATGGTCGATATAAAAAAGTATTAAAATAATGTATAACTTAATATTGCAATTTTTTTATAAATTGCACTCAGTTTTTTTATTATTACGTTTGGTTTTTATACTGTATTAAAGATCAAACTTTAATTAGTTTTTTAAAATTAAACAAGATCTTTATTAAAAATACTGGGCATTCCAACTTACCAGGAGTAGAAAATTCATGCAGAAAACTGACCCCACAAAGCGACATTTTTTGGGCGGATGGCAGCGAAAAAGCCAAACTGACTTCAAGTGGCATTTTGACATTTTGTTGAATTTCAGCTCAGCTGTCGTTGGGGAACGGCACTGGGGGTCAAGGGGGAAGGTGCGTTGGCTTGGGAGCTAAAAAGTGAAAGGAGAAAGGGTCAAAGGGCAGAGGACTCGCAGGTGGCTGACCATGCAAACGAAACGCAGAGAGACGCATTTACATTTTTCTTTTATTTTATTTTTTTTTGTTTTTGGTAAATTAGAAAAACAATTGCCAACGTTGCGGGTAGGAAAAGCTGCAACTTTGGTTCGCAGGTTGACCACACAAAAAGTTTTCAAAGCGTTTACTTTTTACACGTTATATTTCACAACTTGACAAGGATGGTGTTAAAAGTTCTTGCTGTTTTTTACTTTAACCTTTAATAAATAAATTGTTTTTTAAGCCTGATATCATTTTTAAATATTTTTGTGACGCTTTCGGCAGCCGTTATATTAAAAGTAAACAAGCCAACCAAATAATATATAAACTGAAAGAATATTTCAATATATATTGTTGTTTTAATACTATATATTTTATTTAATAACTATCACTTAAAACATTTAATGGTTTTTATTTTTAAAAAAATTAAATAAACCAAATTATATATATTATATAAATATTTTATTTAAAAAGTTTTAAAGTCTTAAAATGAAGCTTTTTAAAATTAAACCACCTTAAAAACTTATCATGGCTTGCCATCTCTATTCGTGACTATCGCCACAGATCAGTTGCCAGCTATCGATATGGCGCTTTTGCCAATCGATTTCAACCTGGTCAGTTATGCCGTTAGAAGCAAGAACAAGAACAAAAAAATAATATTCGTAGAACTTTTCTGTGTTTTTGTATGTTGTCATTTTTAGTTGACATGGAATCGGTCGGAGCATGCCACGAAAGATTGGTGAAAATACTCAAAGGTATGAGAATGGCACTTATATATTATATTTTCACTAACCCATCTCCGCAGACGCTGGTGTCTACGAGGATGGCATGGATGAAGAGGAGATGCAGCAGATGGCGCGCGCAATGCAAATGTCAATTATTGACACTTGCCCACAGCAGGTGAGTCTCAATGTAATTATTTACCTTTCTTCCCCCTCAAATTGACGTGAGTTTCCGCAGGAGAACGAGCTGGAGTTTCTGGGTGATCTGCACAGCTCCACTTTGATTGTGACTCAGGCGGCCACCAGCACTGTCATCGACCCTTGCGATAGTCCGGTCTCCGAACCCATTTACATGACCGTGCAGGCTTTGGTGCATCATGCCATGGATTGGAGTCCGCAGAAGGACCAAGAGCTAGGTCTCGCTCGTAAGAGAAACTCTGCGGATAGCCATGGGCCGGGTGCCAAGCGTTCCCTGCGGCTGCTGGGCGACCGTGTGGAGACACAAGTGGATGAGCAGCAGGACGAGCCGCCCTATAATCCCGATGCCACGCCCGTTTCACTGAACGAAAACGAAGTGGAGGATTCGGGCATCAGTTGGGAAGAAATTTCCCTTTCCAGCGTTGGCAGCTCGATTCCCTCTATTGGAGAGATGCCCAGTGGTCATATGGTCAGCACCAGCAGTGTTGCCGTCTCGGAATCCTCTGAAAGCCGCGACGAATCTAGCCGTGATCAATTCGAATAATAGTTTCTTGTGCAAAACTTGGAACGTAGTCTTATAGATGTTATAAATTTCTATGAATCGAATTTTTGAAAAAAAAAAAAAAACCGTAAAATTCTAATAAATTCGATTGCAGAAACCAATAATCTATTATGATTTGTATTAAGTAAATTTAGTAAACATGTTTTCAGAAATATATGTGAACCATTTTTCATTTGCTGCTTATTTATAGTACTTAATTCGTAAAATAAAGGGTTATCTGCTAATGAAATAAAATTTATTTAATAAATTCAAGTATACTTCATTCAGGTGCAGGCTAAAAGTTTAGTTGTTTAGTTTTTCTTTTATCATAGTTTATGTTTTTTATCAGTATTTTTATTCATAGAAATTAAATACAAATTTCGTTTATGACTTTCGTTAATTTATCCAAAACTCCTTGTACAATACATTTTCTACATATTTCTTCTTTTTAAAACTGGTTTACAAGTTCATAAACCAAGACATGTTGTGTTAATATAACGTTTTGTTACTCATTTGTAAAAAAAAAAAAATCTTAGATTACGACTAATTTTTACCAATATTGTATTAAAAAAAAAAAAACATGCGAGCTTGGACTGGGGCTGGCCTTCTAATAAGATGAATGAGTCGACCTGGGAATAACAGAGTGATCTTCATGGGACCTCCATCTCGGACAAAACACGATCGATGGTACCGCGAAGTAATTGGAACGAATTAACCGTCATGCGATTACGGACAAGAGAGGCCGACAATACACGAAAGTAACTTGTGATTTCGAGTGGTTTAACCGGAGTATTATCATTAATTTCTCTAGTTCTCATCCTGGTAATGCGTCCTGATATAGTTGCCGAAGCGGAACGGAGTATGCGCCTGGATTGGGTTGGGGCAGCAGCGCCAGCATTTCTCAAGTTCCTCGACGAACCTGGTTTCGGCGACGAGTCATCCTTGGGTGATGTGGAGGCGGACACCTCTGCCTCGATATTGCCAGCGGCCACGTCAACTCCATTGGTAGTCACCTGGTCACTGGTTGGGTGTAAATTGAGAAAAGAAGGCAACGACGACTGCTTAACCACCTCAACCTCCATTTTCGGCATTGGAAGAGCATTAGCTTCACCGGCTAGAATCGAAGGCTCCTCTGCCATAACCGGAGTGGAGGCACCAAAGGTCGGAACACGTCCCCTACAAAAAATTCTGGATTCAAGACTGCTTATAAGGTATAATGAAACACTTACGGGGTGGCCGCTATGCGAGTGACATTCATGGACCAATCAGCCCCCTCCGAGCTGGAGGAACCCTCTTCCACAACCTCGTCATCATCATCGTAGGGCGAATCCGAGAGACTCGAGTCCGTCTCCAGCTGATGATCTTGATATATTGGACTGAGAGCACACATTATATTTCTCGCACGATATTTACAATTGTGAAAAATAAGAGTTGAAGAAAACTTACGCATTTGCCTCGAGTTCATCGTCGCCCACGATATGGGGAACAGGAAGATTTGGTGGCAAGGGCCTGTAAAGCATGCTTAATAATTAAACACATACATATATGTAACTTAATTTGCATTTATAATTACATTTTTCACAGAAAAAAAAAGAAAATCAACCAATATTCTACAGAATTCAACGCCAAGTGACGACGAGAGGAGAAAAGTTCAATCAACTTTATAAAAAAGGATGTGTACACATTGGTTAAACCACGTGTTTGGTACCTACAGTGACCAACTAAATTATTGGCACAGTTGGCATTTCTGACTTTGACTCAGTTTTTATCCATTAAATATAAAGATATTTTAATGAAACAAATTTTATTTAAATATATTGATAAATTTCCAACTAAATGAACTTAATTTTATTTTATTTTATTTTTTTTTTTATTTAAAAAAATTAAAAAACTAAAAAAATACTAAGTTTCTCTGAACAAAACGATTGGCACACCAAACCAAAAATATTACCACAGCCAGAATGCACAGCAGCAACTTCCTCCCACTGAACATACGAAGGCTCCAGCAGCAGGCGCACGTGAAGACCCCGGACACAGTCTACTGGGAGCGCCTGGCGAAACCGGAACAGCTTAAGAAGCACAACACCATCGACTACGTGGACTTCAGTGCCAGCGAGCAGGCAACTTTGTGGTGACCTGCTCGGTGCGTGTGGAAATCTACAATTTGGTGACCAAACTGGTGGTGAAGAATCTCTCGAGGTTCCAGAAGACCGCCTATGGAGCCACATTTAGGCAGGATGGCCGGCTGTTGGCCGCCGGCGATGAGGAGGGCCATGTTAAGCTCTTCGACACCAGCAACCGGAGTATCCTGCGCCTATTCAAGGGACACACCGCGCCGGTACATCGAACCTTCTTCACGGTGGATAAACAGCAACTGGCCAGCTTTGGCGACGACAAGACGGTGCGACTGTGGGATGTGGCCAACGAGAAGTTGGTACAGACATACGAGGATTCGCACACGGACTACATCCGGGCGGGTGCCATGCATCCGCAGGCGGGGTACATATTCGTTTCCGGCGGCTATGACGGCAAGATCAATCTGTACGATACGCGACAGGAGACGGAAGTGGTGCACACCCTGAATCACGGGGCGCCCGTGGAGTCCATGCTCTTCCTGCCCAACGGAGGGATCTTCGTCAGCGCCGGCGGCACCCAGGTGCGCGTGTGGGACATGATCAGCGGCTGCCGGCTGCTGACAATGATGTCGCAGCACCACAAGACTGTCACCTGCCTGCGTCTGGGATCTGATGGTCGGCGCTTATTCTCCGGCGGATTGGATCGGCACGTAAAGATCTACGATGTAAGCACTTACAAGACGGTACACACGCTGAACTATCCAAATGCCGTCGTCAGCCTGGCCGTGTTGCGCGGGGATCAGGCTGTCATAGCCGGCATGGTCGATGGATTGATCTCGATTCGCCGGATGATGGTGGAAAGCAAGCCGAGTCACCTGAAAAAGATCCGTGCAGATAGGGCGCGAAAGCAGCAGCAGCAGCAAACTAAAATGGCTGCGGCACCCGATGTCCCCGCCCAGCCGGTGGACCATGTAATCAAGGACAAAACCAAGGGGACAGGCCTGAAAACCTACGATGTGCATCTGCGGCAGTTTAGTCACAAAAAGGCTCTCGACGATGTAATGCAGCCCCAAAAGATGGAGAAGCAGCCGGAGCTAGTGGTGGCCGTAATCGTAGACCTGCTTCACCGACGCTCCCTGGACAAGGCTTTAATTGATCGCCCCGAGCCCGTGCTCATCCAGTTCATCGATTTTTTGTGCACGCATCTGAGCGAGTCGCGATTTATGAGGCCGCTGATGAATGCCTCCAGCACATTATTGGATGTCTTCGAACGGCAGCTGGTGGCCAACAGTCAGCCGCTTATCAAGGCTTTAAAGCGGCTGGCGGCAGCTGTCCAAGCGGAAATCCAGCTAACCGCCGAGCTGATGCAGCTCAAGGGCGCCATGGACATGCTCATTGGCATCTCAATGGATGGCGACGATGTGCCGCGCAAGCCGCCCGCCTATGTCAAGGAGGTCAAGGCACCAAGAATGCTGCCCTCCAAGGCGGCGGATAGGTATACGATCTTCGGGGATTGATCTTTAAACGTGAACCTTCGCACATTTAGCCACATATTTCAATTAATAAACTAAAGTTCTCGAAATTGTTTCAACGCATAAACATTGCCAAATAATAGAACAAAATTTGTACGTGCTTGAATTCATCGAAATTAATATAAAAAATATACATAAATTCTAACGAAAATAATAAAATAACAGCTTAGTAATCATGTTGTTCATCATCCAATTCGCTGCAGTTGCAGTACTTGACTTCGGGGGCATTATCGGAGGCTAGATCGTCCTCGGAAATTGTCACACAGCGCACATTAGGGGGGTATTTCTGATCCAATTAAGATCGTATTAAGGAAAATATTGTATTGTATTGTATTTTTAAACCCACCACCACGACCAGCGGATATCCATCGTCATCGGTAAGACCCATGTTGGAGCAGCCATTCCCCAAGTTCTGTTTGGTGAGGATGTACTTGGTCAAACAGCAGATTGTAATCTAAGGTAGTGAATTTAAATATTATTAGAAGTCTTATCATTATAAGCAGAGATATGCTCACCAGAAATTTCAGAGCCATAACCCAGAGTCCGAGCAGGATATACAAGTAATTCCACACAGCACGGCTAAACACCGGTAAACACCCATCCACGTTGATAGAGTTCACAGCGAGTGGGGGAAACGGTTGCTGACGGCCACTGCCGTAGCCGGACGACTGACCAGCGCCTGGTAGGAAGTGGTTAAAGCAGCTCTCACAGGATCGCTTGCAGCATGTATATGGTGCCAGGACCGAAGACGAACAGTTATCCTCCCGCCTCGGCATCCAATCGGCGTTCGCCCAATCCTTATAGCTATGAACGCCGCAGCACTGCTTATCCCATTGCAAGCTGTCCCACAGGAGCTTCCACTCCGGACAAGAGTAGTACATGTCTATGCCTCGGATAAGAGACGTCTCCGCTGCATTCTCCAGCACATCAACGCCCCGGTAAATGATCCACACGCACCCGAAGCCGGCTGCAATTATTACGCAGGAGTAGAAGAGCCACACGTCCAGGAGCAGGCGCACATTGGGAGTGCAGCGGCGCTTCCATAGTCGCCGCCACATCAGGATGCTGCAAAGAAAGATCACCGCCAACTGGGCGCCGAACATGTACACCCCAAACAGGTAGCCGTAAACCAGTCGGCACTCGATCTGCGACAAGTAACCTGTAAAAAGCTTGTGGTAGTAGGTGGTCACCGCCAGCATCAGCACTCCGATCAGAGCCTCGGTTATCAACAGCAGGGTGACGTAGATGTTGACTCGGCGAAAGGGCTGTTGCATTTGGTCATCGTTGTGGACATCGGCACAAAGTTTAATTAGTCGTCGTGTTTGCTCTGAATTCGAATTTCATTTGGAGTTGACGCTGATTGCACAGACTTTTTGTACAGACTAGCACAGAAAAGCTTTCCAAATTGACTTTGATCCTCTTTTGGCTTAGTTATGATCGATTTTGGGATGGATGCCATGATCCTATTTCGGCTTTCCGAAGTTAGTTTCCTTTCTTGTTTTCAGGTCAACCTACTTGTAGGGCTCCAAGATTAGTATTTTAATTTGGACTATATAGTATATGGTAATAATAATATTTTTAGCTTAAATCTTCGAAGCAAGCCGTAGAGTTTTATTTGAAATATTTATTTATTTATATGACAAAGACACTTAATTAGAGTTCAGTTTAAAACTTCTTAATCGATTCTGAAGCGATCAGTATAGAGTGCTGTATTTGGAAGGCCCTAGGTATATTACTTAGTTCTGTCTTCAGTCACCGCGCGAAGCTGAACTTAAGAACCCCGGAGAAGCAGTCCATACTAGGTCCGATCTGCTTTGCATCGATCTTTATTAGATTCACATTGTCCAAGCAACGAGGACTTTGGACTATCTCCGGCTTGACGTCGCTAAGTCGGATCCACAGTTCCAGGGGCTGGCTGCGCCACCTTTGCTTGGCTAAGATCCCGAGGCAGCTCCAAACAAAGGACTCTCCGTGGCATCGGGTGCGCGTGATATCCAAGATCCTTAGCTGCCGACAATTAATCACGAACTCCAACAGGCCCAAGGGACTTTCCAGCTGATAGCCACACAGATGGAGTTCGGTTAGCTCCGGAAGCTGACTAGCAAGTTGTCGCAGCATCCGATCCTCCAGGCACTGCAGCTGGCCGCCCTCCTCCTCCTCCGCCTGACCATGCAACTCCAGTCGTTTCAGCAGACGGAGGTTGCCCAGCTCCCGGAAAAACCGTTCATGGTCGTGCAGTATGCCGCTGAAGCGAAAGCCTTCGATGGGTCTGCCTGCTGCGGGTGGATTACTGGGACGCGCTATCCGTGACAGAACATCGAAGACAAAATTCTTGGAGTATATCGACAGTTTTTGAAGGCGTGGCAGGCGGAGGAGCTGCTGTGTAATATCCGACTCCATGCACAGGTGATAATCGGCAATCTTAATGTGCTCCAACGTGGGGCACAGATGCAAGTCAGCAAGATCACAGCAGTTCACCTCGTCGCAATCCTCCATAATATCGAATTTGCGGAGGCGCAGCTGTCGGAAGAGATCTCTAAAGTGCTGCGACTCCAGAAACTGGCAGTCATCCAGGCAGAGTTCGTTAAGGAACTCTAGATCGCACAGGTACTTTCCGGTTATTTGGCAGCTCCTCAGCTTGAGCCTCCTTAAATTGGGAAATACTCGTCTTAGCAATCGCACATCCTCGTCCACGAAGCGAACACGTCCCCGCCGATTCCCGTCGCCCAGCCATTCCAGCGAGGTGATCCCCTCTAGGGTGTGGCTGCTCAGGACTCGCAGGCGGCGAACGTCCAACTGCTGGCAGCTCAGACGTTGCATGTAAGGCGCCAAGGCCAGGATAAAGGCCAAAAACTGTCGCGAATTGGTTCCAGATCGACGGAACATCTCGTCTTGAAGGGCCACACTACGGACTCGGGTCCTCCATAACATCTGGACTATGCTCTCCAATCGACGGTTCATCCTACCGATCTCGTACTGCTGGTAAACATTCACTTGTCGGACGATTAAAGCCAGGACATCGTCGTTTAGTTGCAGGAGAGAAGCTGCTGCCGTAGATCCTACTCGAAGTAAACAACTGTTAAATCCTTTCAAGGCTATTCCTCAGGCCCATTCCTTACCTGTATTTGCGGTTGACGTCATCTGTGTTGTGCTCTCGAAGGCGGTGTTTGGAATACTAACGAAACTGCGCCGTTGTCATGGCCAGATGATCGCTACCTACCAAGGCCGAAGGTCATTTAGGGGTGGTTTTCCAGGCAAAACAGGCGGAATTCGCGCTACCTAAGCTATGCATTTATCCTTCTAGGGATGGTCAAACCAAGGCGATATTTTTACGATGATTTAAATATGAAATTGACTTTTAAAGGCAAATATTTAAATATTAGAAGAACGCCACAATAATTTATGAAATTGCGCATCGAAGAAACAGATATTATTGTGAGCTCTTTCGCGACGATCCCATCCCGAAATTCAAGTTAAATATATATAATATAAATGTAAAAAATATATAAAAAACATGGTTTTTATGCTTATGCTGCGCGTTGTTTGCTGCTCATTTATTTGTTTTTGTTTAGTGCTTACTACGTCATCAATTTTAATTACATTTACTCGTAACTTGTACAATATATACTATATATAATATATGTATATATATATATATTTATATGCATTTCATTTGTTGTCCAATTTCTGTCGTATAGGCATATATTGTAGGTATATATAGTGTTGTATTGTATCTGATTTATAGTACATTATTGTTTCTATTTAGTATTGTTACTGTTTGTTGCTTTTTTTATGTTAATGTTAATTGTGGGGCACTCTAAGCGTTTTCTTCAGCTTAATCCTGTCAAACGTCCTCCTCATACTTTGCTGCGTTTTAGGAAACATATTCAGCGCTCTCCCAGCGTACTGTGGTTTCATTATTTTAAACATAAAGTTTAATGCGTCGCGTCTGTCTGTGGTGTTGGGAAGGAAGTACTGCTTTTCTCACATTATGCAACTACGCAACTTACAAATAAATTATTGCAACACAAGTGAATTTCTTCCATCTTCGGTTCTCGGTACTTTAAATTGCCTTTTTGCATACTCTACACATACATATCCGTTATATATTAGATAATAACCGTACAATAATATATATCTCTATATGCATACTCTATATACTGCGCTCTATACACATCACTAAAAGCAAAAACACCGAAAACTAACACGGATAAACAGCTACATAATTATAGACGCGTGTGTGTTGTGTGTTTGCGATTTCCCAAAAATATAAATTTCGAGTAAAGTATAATGAGTTGGTGTTTTGTTTTTCTATTTTACAATTTTCAATTGTTCCCTGCATTCTGAGTGTAATTAAAACATTCACATTGCTGCCAATATAGACGTGAATAAATCAAGTTTAAGTTTAAGATTAAGATTAGATAATATGAAATAAAAAACCAAGTGGCGTCTTTAAATGGTCAAAACAAACAGTTTTACATTTTCCGTTTATTTGTGTAAAGTTACAATTTGTTAAATTAAATTAAACTTGTATTTTAAGCATTTAATTCTTCGACAATTAAATGTTATTATTAAAATGTTTCATTCAAAGGAAGCATAATGTGTGTGTGTGTGTGTAGGTCTGTCTGTCGGTCGATCGTCTGTTTGTTTGTTACCTCGTTAACTTATTAAACATTGTTGACTCATCTTTAATATATTGTTTTATATTCCTCTTGTCCATATTTTCCGTGTTATTTCTATTTATTTGTTGTTGTTAAATTTAAAGCGATATGTTGTTGCTTGTGGCGCTTGTTGGGGCGTGTCTTGCAATTTTTTAATTACTTTCATTACGGCTTCAACTTGTTCTTCTTGATGTTTATGGTTGTTGTTGTTGCTGTTTTCAACATAAGCACAGTTTAGGGGTTATAATTAATTTTAGAGTTGTGCCTAGTCGTATATATATATATATATATATATGTATGGGTTGTTGTTGTTTGTTAACTTTAATAGTGGGGTAATAACTTGTTGTTATAGGTTTTAGTATCCATATATCGAAATCGTAATTGTAATTGTAATCATAATGATTGGGCGGCACCGGCACGCCCAACTAAAAACTACTCGCTCTCGTTTCTCCTCCTACTCATGTTCTATTCATCATCGCATCTACATACGTTCTCAATTATTACTTTTAGTAGTTCAACTAACATTAAATATAATAATTTGTTGTGTGTTTTTAAATCCATCTCATCTCTCATCATTATCTCGTTAGTTGTGGTTGCTGTTGACTTAGCCTAGGCTTCCTTCGGTTCCACTGTCATATCTATATAATAATATATCGCCTGATCGACACTAATCGATTTCTCATTATCATCACGCTTTCTAAACTGGGTTAATAATATGTGTAAAAGTGATCGCGCTTCTGTCCTTGGAAAATGCAAAACTAATACAGTTGTGATAATTTTCGATAAATTTCCAAGGGTTTTTCTTCTTCTTGTTGTTGTTGTTGTTGCGTGTGTTATTTACAAACTATAAAGTGTATATGTATATATAATCGTATGCCTATGCATAGGTTTATGTTTATGATGACGAGGATGCTTTCTATGAATGTCGCTCCGTATATGGATGTTATATACCTTAACTTAGTCAAAACAATAAAAATACAAGATGAAGCGCCTTCTGCTGGTTACGCCCCTCAAAATGTTTTGCTTATAATGTCTAGGTCTAGCGAGAAGAGAGTGGCATTTAGCACAGCTAAAAATTCAACTCTACGCGGCGCCGCCTGGCACACATTTCAGAAATGTTGAAAACACGTGAATAAAATTGAACGCTAAGCGCCCAAGGGCATTAAAAATACAGAGAAAGAAAAGGGGTGGAGATACCGAGAACAAACTATGAGATGATTCGTATTGCACGTTAAAGCTGGCGGCGTCAGACTAGTAGAGGAGTGTTTTGTTTGTTTGCGAAATGAGAAAGAACTGAACTGGTCTTTCTGGGGTGCTTGAATTTTTAAGGCTACAAAATTGAATTCTATTGTGTTTCTCTGCGATATTAATCAAACAGACTGGAAAACAAGGAGCTCCGCACAGGGAGATTATGGTTAATTCATGTTAAAGTTAGGCTTTTGCTTATCATTTAAATTTTGTAAGTTTAAAAAATAAAGAAATTTACAAAAAAATTTAAACAAGAATTAAATTTTACTTTAGAAATATGAATAAAGTTGATATTCTACAATCAGCAGGTTTACTTTGCATAATTAAATTGTTAATTTGTTATTTATAATTAATAATATATTTGAAAAATATATAGAATTTTTTAGATTGCACTTAAAAATTGGAGGATTGCCACTTTCATTCGATATTAAAAATCGAGGCACCCCAGAATAACCCCTCTGAATGCTTCGTTTTCACTTCTGGGCCATAGATCAGCGTAACCAGCGCGCTGCTAAAAACTATTGTACATACAACTAGCTGCTTAAATGGGGGGTGCTTGTTATGGTCTGTGTGTCCTATATAAGGATGTCGTTTCAGCCCGGCTCACCAACTAGCCCACTAGCTCACTGGTTGGCCCATCTCACCACGCCGCTTGCGTCGACGCTGTTGCGGCAGCTGCCGTGGTGGCGGCAATGGAGGTGCTGGTGGTGCTGCTGGAGTGGGCTGTGGTGGGTGTGTAGCCGTGCAAGAGGGGCTACTGTTAGTAAACAACCGGGTGTTGCTCCACGTTCGCTGGCAGATGCTGCAGCTGCATGGCGGCGCGGGCCAAAGCACTGGGATCACTTATCAAGGCGATGGGCACTCCAGGTGGCGGCTGTTGCTGCGGCGGCGGCGCTTGGCCTGGATGCTGTTGCTGCTGATGGTGCTGTTGCTGCTGCTGCTGTTGTTGCTGCTGCTGTTGCTGGTGTTGCTGCTGCTGCTGCTGTTGACGGTGCTGCTCCTGCTGATGGTGATGAGCCGCCTGTTGGATGGACAACTGCAGCAATTGCTGCTGCTGCTGCAGCTGCTGTTGTTGCTGCTGATGGGCAGCCACTGCCGCCTGTTGCTGATGCTGTGCCGCCACTTGCTGCTGGTGCTGCTGATGGGCGGCCGCCGCCTGTTGCTGGGCAGCCTGCTGCTGAGCCGCTGCTGCTGCGGCAGCCTGTTGCTGGGCCGCTGCAGCGGCGGCTGCCTGTTGCTTCTGCGACTGCTGCTGGGCGGCGGCATTGTGCGAGATAAGCGTTGAGGTGACCAGCGGCACCAGACCCGGTGTTAGCTGCACGGCACCGGCACCGCCCGCCGCACCAGCGGTTATCTGCTGGATGGTGTGCATCGTGGTGGTCGCCGAGTGGTGGGGAACTGAAACGGTAGGAGGGCCGGATAAGTTGAACGACTTGGGCACGGGGAGAAGACTCGCTTGCGCTAGCGCAGTCGTGTTTGCCGACTCACTTATGATCGGTTTCACTTCCTGCTTGACTTGCGTCAGCACACCAGCCGGTATTTGCGGATGCGGATGCACGGGTGGTGGCGGCATCATAGCATCCGGGTGATTCATCTTCATGTGGCGCTTCAAATTGCCGCGCTCGACGAACGCCTTGCTGCACAGAGTGCACGCGTGCGGTTTCTCGCCCGAATGGGAGCGCATGTGCGAGACCAAGTGACCTGCGAAACGGACAATGGAAGCGACATGAAGATCTGATCGTCGGGGGGTTGTTGGATCTCGAATTTCGAAAACGGCTCGGGTAAGTTCTTTATTTATTTATATTTTTTTTATTGGTGGGGGGCTCGCTCTCACAGATGCTGTTTGCTGCTTTCAAACATGATTTTTGGATTTTGTCTGTTCAGATTTTTGGTTAAAAAAAACTTTAAACTTTTAACTTTAACAAGAAAGGAAGCTAACTTCGGCACGCCGAAGTTTGTATACCCTTGCAGATATTATTTCATTACATTTTACCTATACTTATTATGTTTACAGTTTGACAGTTACAGTTTTGCATTCCCAGCTTTACATTTTGTATACATCTACCGATCGGTTTATATGGCAGCTATATGATATAGTTGTCCGATTTTTATGAAATTTATACCAAAATTCTAGAACAATAAAAAAAGCCTATATCTCAGAGTAGATACAAATACGTTGAAAAACAACGAAGCTATAATTTTTTTCCTATTAATTTCCCGATCGTTCCTATGGCAGCTATATCATATAGTCGTCCGATTTTTATAAAATTTTTACCAAAATTCAGAAATAATATAAAATGGCCATATCTCAAAAATGGTGCAAAAATATTGAAAAACAGCAAAGTAATAATTTTTTTTCTAAAAATTTATCGGACATTTGTATGGCAGCTATATGATATAGTCGTCCGATCCGGCCCGTTCCGACATATATAGCAGTGAGAGTATATAGAAGACTATATGCAAAGTTTCATTCAGATAGCTTTTAAACTGAGGGACTAGTTTGCGTAGAAACGGACAGGTGGACAGACGGACAGACGGACAGACGGACAGACGGACAGACGGACAGACGGACAGACGGACAGACGGACATGGCTAGATCGACTCGGCTGTTGATGCTGATCAAGAATATATATACTTTATAGGGTCGGAAACGTCTCCTTCACTGCGTTGCAAACTTCTGACTGAAATTATAATACCCTGCAAGGGTATAAAAAAGAAAACCAATTTACTTAGAATATGGATTCTTGATACATCAATTAACTATTTTAATTTTAATTACCGTGTTACTCCTGCTATTTTATACTTTTCCCTTACAAAATAATAAAGAAATCATAATAAAACAGGTTAAAATATTGCAGATATTAAAAAAATAATCTAATTGACTTTCTGACTAGACGTAACCCATTATATCCGAGAGAACGAACCCCACACAACAGCAACTGGAAGTGGAGGGCAGGACGGGAACGGGCGAGGTGGGTGGTCATTTTTGGAGCTGGAGCTGGGGCTGGGACACTATGCTGACGCCACGCCACGCGTGCCTCCACTGGATGCATGCAAACGTTTAGCAGCAATCATAGCAAATCACACTTACCTTTACAGATGAAATTCTTGGGGCACTTCTCGCAGGCAAATGGTCTCTCCATCTCTTGGCCCTTGGTGTGGCTACGTTGATGGAAGAGCAGGTTGCCCTTGAGCGGAAACGATTTGCCGCATGTCTCGCAGGTGAAGGGCCGATCGCCGGTGTGGCAGCGTGACATATGATTGATCAGGTGCTCCTTGCGCGTGAACGGCTTATTGCAGACATTGCAGCAGTGCGGATTGTCGCTTGAATGCTGGCGCATATGGTTGTTGAGATGCTCCTTCCGCGTAAACGTCTTCTGGCAGTACTCGCACTTGTGGGGCGAGTCGCCCGTATGGAGGCGCACATGGTTCGTCAGGTGCTCCTTCCGCGTGAACGTCTTCTTGCAGTAGGAGCAGCGGTGCGGGGAGTCGCCCGTGTGCTGGCGCACATGGTTCGTCAGGTGCTCCTTGCGCGTAAACGTCTTGGTGCAGTATGTGCACTTGTGCGGCGACTCGCCTGTATGTTGCCGTACATGATTAACCATGTGATCTTTGCGCGTGAACGCTTTCGTGCAGTACGTGCACTTGAACGGTGTCTCACCCGTGTGCTGGCGTATGTGGTTGACCAGATGCTCCTTGCGCGTGAACGTCTTCATGCAGTAGGAGCAGCGGTGTGGCGACTCTCCCGTGTGCTGGCGCACGTGGTTAAGCAAATGCTCCTTGCGCGTAAACGTCTTTGAGCAGAAGTCGCACCGGTGCGGCGTCTCGCCTGCTTGCGTGGCAAATGTGTGGGTGTCGCGCGCGAATGGGACAAGAAAACATTTAGAGATTAGTAATCGTCGCCATCAATCGCATACAGGCGAGGCAGGAGCGGTCATTGGTGGTATGGTCTAAGCTGTGTATGCGGAAGATCACTAGACAATTTTGGCATTTGGCTTTGGTGCATACATCGATGAAGAAAAGAACACATTTTATACTACATACATAGTGAAAATATACATAGTGAAAATTACTTTTTTCGTGTTAAAAACCTTATTAAAGGGAAGAATGTGTGTTAGTTAAATGAGCATATTCATTATCAATTGACTAGTGTGTCAACATTTTACTATTATCTAGTTTTACTTGACGAAAAGGTTAGCTTTGTAAAAACGATCACAAAATATAAATAGCCTAATAGACAAAATCATTGATTCACTCGGTTATTTCTACCAAGAGCTCGTTGTCGTTAGTAGATCATCTAGCGAAAGTTCGTTAACGCTACTCGATAGATCATCTAGCGAAAGTTCGTTAACGCTACTCGATAGATCATCTAGCGAAAGTTCGTTAACGCTACTCGATAGATCATCTAGCGAGAGTTTGTTAACGCTACTCTATAGATCACTTTACTTCTAACGAGAGTTCGTCATCGCTGCTCAATTCTTCCCATTATTTCTAGCGAGTGTTCGTCATCGCTGCTCGTGCACTCGCTGCCGCCGCCAAGTGTCTGTTTGTGTGGTATTTCATGTGTTCAAGTGGACTGAAGCAGGATCGGTTACGGATTGGGGGAGAATTCAGGAATCGGAATCGGTCGAGGGACGGAACGTCCGATTCGTTTTGTCTCTTTACCTGTGTGCCAGAGTATGTGGTTGGTGAAGTGCTCCTTGCGGCTAAAGCTCTTGCCGCAGATCTCGCAACGGAACGGCGTCTCGTTGGTGTGGGAGCGCATATGGTTGGCTAGGTGCTCCTTGCGCGTATATTTCTTGCCGCAGACATCACACTGGTGCGGCGTTTGACCTGGATATTTATTTTTTTGGGGAGAGGGCAGAGAGCAGAACAAAACGGAATTGTTGTACAAAGGGAGAATGACGTTTGATCTCGTTCGACAAGACAAAATCGCATTCGCATTAGCAGCGCAAGCATATTTTCTTTTTCCCTCGACACTCGCTGGTTTTCCCCTAGGGATCCCAGGGAAAACTAGTGGTAAGTCGAAGAAAAAACAAAATGTTTTCAAAATCGTCCCGACCCATGCCCGCGCACCGCTTAGTGTTTTTTTTTTTTGTGGTTTTTCGTGGTGATTGGGTGGCTGCGTGAATGGGTGGGTTTCTTTTTAAATGTATTTTTATACTAAATGCTTCATTTTCTTTGCTTTTCTGTATTTTTTCTTTTTTGTTTGGTGTGAAACTGGCCGTGGCTTGCGTTGTTGTGGTTTCGAACGAACGAAGCGAACGGAGGCTGCTGGCTCGGGCATATGGACGTGGGCGTGGTGGTGGTGGTGTCAGATGTGGATTGTATGTGGTGTGGATGATGTTCATTGGATGTGGTGGTGTGTGATGTGATGTTTGGTGTGCCTGTCAACTCTGCTTCTACTCAATGCTGATCTTCAGGATGCTTTACTTTCATTTTTTCTTAATTTTTTTGCATAGAACGTTCAGTTCCAGGAGAAGACTGATTCGCCGAAAAGCTTTAGGATTCCTATATAGCAGGTGATCTGAACTGTGTGTCAGTGTTTCTGGTGTTGTTGTGTTGTGTGTTCCAATTGCTTTGTGTGTGTGTGCATTGAGTGTGTTAATGTCGCAGTTACACAGAGACGTTGGCAATCGACAAGCAGCAACAACGAACTTTTTTAAATATTTTTCTTTTCTTTTCTCGACTTTTCATATAATTTTTGGGCACCCTGTTCGACAGCAGAGAGAGCGTAGACAAAGTTTTACAGGCACTATAAAAATACCGAATTGGGAGTGAAGGATTGGACTTGGACTTGGACGTGGACGTGGACGTAGTGGAGTGGTGGAGTGGAACGAGCACTGGATGATATGTTTTTGGTGGTGCGTGTGAGCATGATTTGGAGTTCTTTTTTTGTAGTCGGTGAAGATTGTTGGGAATGTGTGATGCGGAGATCATGGTTGGGGGGAAATGGAGCGGTATGAGCGAGTGAGCGTGTTTTCTTTGGTTTTTTTTTTGCGGGATTAATGCGCGGATGCATTGGAGTTGCATTCGCTTCAAGCGTTAGTTTTGCACAGAGAAAAAAATTCAGAACAATATGGGCTGTATCTAAAGTTGCATCTAAATTGAGTATTCAAAGGATATTGAGGCGTCGAAAAGTAGGCAATGTAGATATTACAATAGTAATGCATGGCTAAGGTTAAATATATTATTGCCTCAAATGCTTCGAAAAAGCCACGAATAAATAAAGGGTTTCTTATCAGTTTTATGTCCAACAATAGTATAAAATATATAGAGAATATATTACTCTTTTAGACCAAAAAAATGGGAAAATGACTAGAGAATATTATTATGATTGGATAAGTTTAGGCACATGATTTTTTAACTATAAAATACTATTTATCACATTACCGAGCTGTTTTGACCAAGATGATTTACCAATCTAAGGCAACATTTTTCTCTCTGTGAGGAGTACAGTGGACGGGACTGTGGGAGTTGGCGGGTGGAATAAGCACAAGCGATGAGCGAGATAGAAGCGTATGAGAGATATAGATAGACAGTTAGGGAGGAAAAAGACGTAGGACGCACGATGAAGTCTATATATAATTATTTTTTTGCGGTGCTTTTTGTCAATTTTTTGTTTTGTTTTGGTTGGTTGATTTTGATTTGGTTCTTGGTTGGTTTGGTTTGGTTGGTGTGATGTGGTGATGGCTGTTGTAGTTGTTCTTGTACTCTATGAATTGAATTTGGTCTGACTGGAGTTGGTCTTGGAGTTGATATTAGGTTGGGTTTTTTTTTTGGTTCTGAGAGATTGATTCTGATCTGTCTTTTCTGTTCTTGTTCTTGTTCTGGTTGTTTTTGTGGCGCTCGCCGCTCGCATTGTCCGCCCCCACCAATCAATCACACTCACCAGTGTGCCACATGTAGTGGTTAACATAGTGTTCCTTGCGCGTAAAGGACTTCTTACAAATATCGCAACGATGTGGCGTCTCACCCGTGTGTTTGCGCACATGGTTGACCATGTGCTCCTTGCGCGTAAACGTCTTGGCGCAGTACTGGCAACGGAAGGGCGTTTCGCCCGTATGCGAACGAAAGTGATTGTCCAGATGCTCTTTGCGGGCAAAGGTCTTTTGGCAAATGGTGCAGGCGAACGGTTTGTCCGTCGAGTGCCGTTTCATGTGCCGCTCCAGGCTCGTATTGTTCGCGAACACATTGAAGCACACGATGCAGGTGAACATGGGCCCGCCAATGTGAATCTTGCCGTGGCGCGTCAAATCCTGCGACGTGGTGAAGCCCTGGCCACACACCTGGCACATGAACGGTTTCCGTTCACTGTGGTAGCGCCGGTGCACGATCAGCTGGTACCGGAACTGGAACATCTTGCCGCAAATGTCGCAGACGTGCGTCCCCGTCGCAATTGGCGTACCGTCCGGCGCCAGCGCCACGTTCTGCCCGCCGTTGCCGCCGCCATTGCCGCTGCCGTCCACGCCATGAATGCCGCCCTCCATTTTAGGCATAAGCAACTCACCCGCCGTGGTCGTGGTGCCCCCACTGGTGGTGCTCCCGCCGCTGCTGGCCGTCGAGCTGCTGGTCGTCGTTACCGTCACCTGCTGGCCCCCATTGCCGCTGGTGGCCGGCGGCAGACCTCCGCCCGCTGCGGATGCAGCCGCTGCTGCCGCCGCCGCCGCATTGGCGGAGGCCATCACTGCCGCCACAGCGGCATTATTTGTGGACGCTGCTGCGGCTGCTGCTGCCGCACTGGCCGCATGACTAGTGGCCTGCGGTGGAAGGGGCGGCGGTGGTGGAAGCTGGCCTCCATGTGCCGCCGCCAATTGATGATTCACAACATCGCCATGGATCTTGCCAAAGACCTCGTGATAGGTGAAGAGCTGAGATATGTCCTCGATGTTCACCTTGTACATCTCGATGCCGTGCGGCGGCTTGCCATCCTCCTTGTGCTCCGATTTGGGGAGCGGTGGTGGGCCGCCCAAGGTGATCGTCGTCCCACCAGTGGTCACAACGGGGGCTACAACTGATGGCACCGAGCTGGCAGCGCTCACGTGCTGCATTCTTGTGTCCAGATCCGGGCGATCGTCGTGGCGCTTCCGTGTATCAGCCGCTTTTTCTCTAAATGTATATCAATGTTTTGTGTGTTTTCGGGAGTTTATTTGTAGGTTGGTTGGTTGTTGAGGGTTCTTGTTGGTGATGCTGTTGCTATTGTTGCTGCTGTTCTTGATTGTATTTCTTGTGTGCTGCTGCTGCCGCTGCTGTGGAGCGCCTACATATTGATGTTGTTGCTGCTGTCGACTGCTTTCGCTGAGCGTGGCTACAAACAAAAAATGCAAGTGGAAGGTGGAGAGGTGGTGTCACTCTTAGTCTCTGACTGCGCTCAGGTATATATTTATCTTCGTATTGGTATTATTCAATCGACGCTGACGGGGACAATTACCATGAAGTTGCTGCTGCTACAGATGTTGATGTTGCCGTTGGAGGATTGTGTGTTCTTCTGCTCTGCCGCTACTACTGTCCAGTTGATGATATTTGGACAGTCAATTTCAATGGGTATTCCACCTGAAACATGAATAACACTGGTAGAAATCAAATCAATTGGATTAAATGGAGTAACAAAATGAATTGAAGGGATTAAAAGGATTATTAAGGTTACAGTAATAATTGAGCAAATATTGTAATTAGCACAAAATAAAATAATAGGTGAATATAACATACAGAAACTTAAAGATTTTTTAAAATCATAATTAGGATTCTATCAAACTATGGGGCGAGGGGGTGAGTTTCGCACCTTCAGATGGTTTCTTTTGAGACCATTAACCCTTGAAACAATGCAAAAGTCATAGAACATGTATCTATTTGTATGTATATTATGCAAGTACAGTTACATTTCCCTCACACACACACTTGCACACAGCATACAATTATCAGGCAGGACTAATTCATGTAAAAAGATGTTGGGCAGCTCAGCGCTTTATTGATTTTGCTGCCGGGCATTAAAAGTGATATAAATTGCCCATTAGCGAACCGCAGGCCCCCCATTTCCACACCCTGCCCCACACACACACACCCATATTGCTATGTCTTCATCAGCAGCAGCAGAAAAAGAGGAGCAGAATGAGGAGGTAGAGAGGCGGATGAAGGAGAGGCAGGCGCACAATGAAATAACTTTATATAAATTGTAAATGGCAAAAGGCAGCAAAACGAATGACAAGGAACACAAAAGGGAGTGGAGCTGGGATTCGAGGCAGAGAAAAACCGAGGGAGGGGCAGGATCCAGGATTTAGATATCCAATCAGAGTATGCAAGCGTTTTGATAGAAACACCGAGAGACAGGGAGAGCAAGTGAGCGCAAAGTCAGGGGAAAACGGGCAAGAGAGACTGGGGAGCCGATGTAAATATCAAGAAGTACAAATCGATTAAAGACAACGCGTAAGTGTGTGCGTTTGTGTGAGTGAGTGCAAGAAAAACTGAGCTGCGAATTAAAGATGGAGATGGACAACGTAGAGAGAGGGGCAGCAATCAAGGAGAGCGCGCATGAGCGGGAGAGGAGGGGAGTGTTTGCATAGGTCCTGGTTTTGTCCCTTTCGCTAAGCGATTTACAGTTACAGCTTACAGGCTAAGCACCGCTCTCACTCTTTCGCTCCTCTCTTGCTCCTTCTTCGGCGCAAATAATTCAGCGGTGAGAGATGAGAGCGGAGCGGGAGAAAAGGACACTGAAAAGGGCGCCACTTTTAATGTGGTGAGGTAGGAAAGACTATGTGTGTACAAATACATATCTCTCCTGCACGCACTTGTGTGTTTAGGTGTGAGTGGAGCCCGGGCAGCAGAAAAAAAAAACTATGAAAAAGTGGGCGGGTTCGGCATGTAAAATGCTGATGAAGCCAAGCACAAAACACAAGACAAATGGCCCAATCTACGAACGGGTGATCCACCCATCCCCCACTCAAACAACCGCCCTCCAATTAAGTAACTGTAACACTACCAGCATAGCTGCACAGCAAATACAAAATTGTATTGCAACCGCAAGCTTTTCTCAAAACAAATACTTCAATAACTTGACGGAACTATTTCATTTCTTATTATTAAATATGGTAGAATTAATATCAAGCAGAGTCATGAACGATTGGATTGGATTCAAACATCAAAATTAAAATTTCAAACTTTAAAATATATCCAATAAAGAACTTTAAGTCTTATGGATTATTCTATTAAATCTCCAATCAATCCTCAAAACCAAAATTAGATTAGATATTAGATATTTTCCCAATCGGAGTATCTGTTGTAAACTGACTTACCAATATCAGACTTTAATTTTATTTTTTGCTTAAAAATAGACATTCATTCCCGATCCTCATTTAATTTAAATAAAACTGCAACCTCAAAATCACTCTTAAGTTGACACAAACTAGCCATAAAAATTTTGGCAACCCTAGGTAAGGTTGGGTAAGCCACCCAATATATTTATAAGCCTATCTATGATGCATTGGATATTTTAAAACGCTCTCTAAGGAAGTATTTTAAAATTAAAATCCTAAAATTTTAGGCTTTATAAAAAAGCTACCATATTTTATCTAAGCTGTGCTATTTTGCAGTGCACTATATAAATCGTACCGAACCGTTCCTAAAGTTTTGCATTTTCGTTTAATATAAAAGCAATAATAATAGTGGTAGTTTTCAGTAAATCAAAACCATTTTACTGTGCCGAAAGGATTATAAACTATGGGAAAACGGATTCTAGGGACAAACAATGAGCCATATGGCACAATAATGTATATTCCATGTAATAATTGGGGTTGAATAACCCCTTTTCGGGTTTGGCCAAACAAACAAACAAAGTCACCCTGTATGTGCGGATGCGAGATGTGAAAGCAATTGAAATCACTTCACTTACCTCATGTAGCGTTCTATTTGGTCCGATTATTGCTCGCCAGGAGCGGACTTGAAGATATATTTATCCGGCAGATATAAGTGCAGATATCATCACCTGCAAGCAGAGACAACGTTGAGACATGGCAACAATCATAATAACCAGCGAGAGCAACAGTTTGTTTGCGGTGTTTATGTTTACGCGAAATATTCAAACGGCCCGCGGTACAGTCTTCCCCGTTTCCCTTTGCTTCCACTTCCACACTCACACAGACACACTCATGCGGGCGGCAGAACGGACAGGGGGCGAAAGCAAATCAAGCGAAAATTTATTTGCAGTCAATATATGCAAAAGTCACGCACACAAAAGTAACGAAAGCTGCGTCTGCGTCGAAAGCAGAGCAAAATGGGAAAAGACCTAACAGGAATATTCTAACTCTAATTGGAAGGGGAACGGGAATCGGAATCGAAAAGTTGGACGGGCAGTGCGAATTTTACATTTCCAACTATTCCACTAAGAAATCAAATTAATTGTATCTATATCTAGACGGGAGCTGCGTGCATCGTTCTCGCTCTTCTGTCTCCTCTTGTCTTCTAGAATCTAGACGGGGGGCTCTTCGGCTGCTACGCCTCCTCTCCTGCTTCCTCGCTCTTCCCACTTTGCTTTTGGCTGCCAGCAGGGAAAAAAGTTGTATCTTTCTTGCTTTTCCGCCGCCGCCTCCTCTTCTCTGCTCCCTTGCCCACTGCTTTTCGTGCACTTTTGTACTCGGTTTTGCTTTATTTTGTTGTTCTCGTTTCGCTCTCCTCTCTCGCTCTCTTTCGCCTACATTGTCTCTCATTATTCATTGAACGACAACGCCGTGCCCGCCCGTCCCCGATTCCAACCAGCGCTCTTCCCAACCGACGTTTTGCACGAACGACGCTACGTACAATTCCCAACCGCCTGAAGCGGAAAACCAATAAAAACGAATTGAATCGCAAAGCGTAAGTACAAAATAAAGCGAGACAAAAACGAAAGCTGAGAGCTGCCAGCAGAGAGAGAGAGCGCGCGCGACGAACACCGAAAGAGAGGAGAGGAAGAAGCGAGTACAGGCGGCGCGTCGATACAAGTTTTGCTTTTTGCTCACGTTCTATATGCCAGATCCGAAACTCGAGTTATAGTTATAATTATTGCCGCTTGGCTTTATTTTTAATTTTGTTTGGTTGTCGCTCGCCTTTCTGAGCGAGAGAGCGGCGAACGAGAGGACACGGGACAGAGGTGGCAGGGGGGTCGAGCCGAGAGACACATTTTCATTACAGCCAATTAGTGTGCATTTCATAATTGTTTAACAAAACAGAGCGGGTTAAACAATAAGAAAAGCCAAAAGGAAACCGGAGTGGAAAGTCCGGCTATTTCGTTCTAACCATATGGCGGGGTTCACATCTGTAGCGGTAGTTTGCACATTATGTTGCCGATCGTTTTGTGTGGTAATGCTAATAATTTTTTAAATGCAACCCTGCGCCCCCCTGCCCCCGCCTAGCAAACAAGATGACACGATGATGACGTTAATGGGAACTCTGTGGCTGTGGATGTGCACAGCTCACACACACACTGGCAACGCGCTCACTCACTCTCACCAACACAGGGGCAGTAAAGTCGACCGCAAAGTCATTTGATTAATATTTCTCGCATTCTTTTTCGCCTGCGAATTTCACAAATAAACACAATTGTTTCCAATCAGCCCCGGCATCCCCCCGTCCCCTCGGTTCGTAGCACGCCCCCTCACTCGCGCTGCAGTTCTTATAAGCGCTGAAAGTACGGTTCTTGTGACGCCAGTATATGAAAATTACTTGATATTGCAGTGGTGGTGGTAACACTCTCTGGCCGTGTGCGTGTAGTGGAAAATCAGAATCGAAACGCCGCGCGGGTGGAGAGGCGGTGGTGAACGGTGTACAGAGCAAAGCAAACTGAATGAATAAGGCGCGAAAGCAGACGGCAGCAAAGGCAGCCAGTGATGCCATTTTTCCGAGCAAAAAAGGCTGGATCGCCCAGAATAAACGGCTAAAAGAGCCGAATTCTAAGGGGAAAGAAAACAAAAAGCTGATTTTTAGAAAATATAATATAAATGATGTATATAATTTGTTGTTTGTTTTTTCCCAACATTTCCCACTTCAGCCCACATATTACATTAGAAATTAATTTCAAATTTCAATTTCAATCAAACGAAATAAAAATAGAACAAGATCCTGTACTGTCATGCCAAAAAGCATATTTTTCTTACAAAAGACATTTAAAACTAGAATATGCTAGATGCATTTTAAAATAAGGATGCACATTTAACAAGCTTTTTCAGTTTTAATAAATAATAGAGTTCGCTTAAAACAAGCTAAGCTGACAACACTGCACCAACCCACCACACTGCAGAAGGAGGCAAGGCGGAAGGTGAAAAACGAGAGTTCGCAACGAGAGACGGCGAACGATGACGAAGAGAAGAACGATTCCAAAAAACGCACTTCTTATTTAAAAAGGAAACCAATCAGTAAATGGAAACTAATAAGAATTGACAAATAGTTTTATTTTCAAATTGGAATAATGACTAATAAAATAAAAGTAATACCTTTCGGCTTATTTATAATGAAAATTATAATTATATTTATAATGAAAAAAAAACTTATCCCTCGATTTGTAAGTTTTTCTAGATTTTCTAAATTTAAAAATCTATTTTTTAAATGCTTTACTTTTCCCGCTTTATTTTGAGAAAATCGGCAACGAAATACTATTTAATTTAATTTAAAAAATTAACTTTCATTAATTTCTTGAATTTTTTTATAATTATTTAGTTTATATTTACATTTAGTATGCATATAATTAATATTTAGCAAGAGTTAATCCTACACGCTTACAGAATAACAGTGTCAAATTTGTTAGTTAACATTATTTTGGGGTCGAATTCTCATGTAGAATGTAAAATGTTCGATCGAACCTGTTAGAACTCCTTAACGTAATTTGCTTATGGAATTCCGAAATTGAGAGCCTACAGAATTTTGCTCCGAGAGAGCCGAAGCCGAAAGCACAAGTTTAGGAGAGAGCCAGTGCAGCCGGTTTGGAGGGATTTACTTTGGCACTGGCAAGAGTGGGACAGCGACAGAGAGAGAGAGAGAGAGATTCAACGTAACCGCAAGATACAAGATACAGAGCAAAGCAAACTGAAAATTAAATGAAACGCGGAGGCAGCAGAAGGCAAAGCAGGCTAAAGCAGGCGAAAGCGAACGACGTAAAAGTTCTTCGTGTCGCGCATTCGGCTGCCAGCCGAAAGCACAACCCAGCAAACAAAGAGCAGATGGATCCGAAAAGTATCCCGCTCCTGGCATGGGACAAACTTGAAAATGTGCATATTTTTCGTATATTTTTTAAATAATTATTTACTTATAATAATTTATATTTTTACAGCCGCTTTTAAGAAAAAATGTTCGTTGGAGGACGCAGACTTTGATTACACAAAAATACTTTTAATATGCACAGAACCTAGTAACTAAGTCCAATAATAAATAACTTAAAACAACTTTATAAATATACAAAATATAAGCGTTCATAGAAGTAGTAAGCATTCATAAGAATTAATATTAAGTAAGAAAAAACCTTAAGTGAAATGTTTTTTTTTTAAGTTCATTAATCTGAAGTTTAATGTTTACTTATGAAGTTAAATAAAAATAAGTAAGGATTAACATAAATAAATGTATGTTTGACTAACATTTTAATAAAACTGAAATTCTAAAAAAATAAAATTGGAAGTAGAAATGGTTGCTGGTTTTTATCTGCTGGGTAAACTTAAGTTTGTAGGGGAGCCAGTGCAGTCGGTTTGGAGGGATTTAGTTTGGGTAGTCTATGGGCTTTGTTGTTCTATTATCATAGGTGTTTTTTTTTTTTTTTTTTTTTCAAAATACATCGATGTTTTTTTTCGATGTTTCATAGGTACATCTACGATATTTCTACAAATTTCAGAATTTATCATAACTCAAAGAAAAACACTAATGAGATCAAACTTGAAACTTAAATGTTAGCGATCTCAAATATTAATTCTAATCTTATTTTTTGAAGATTTCATAATTGTTTATGAAAATTAGTTTATCTACGACGTCTGCCTTGAGACGGATATGGGATCGGATATGATTTGTGTTTCACTCAGTACGTTTGTGTAGCATAGTAACTATTACTTCCTCCCGCTAAAAGTAGCTATATTCCCGCAGTACTGCACTGGTAAGAGGTGTGGAGGCAGCGACAGAGAGAGAGAGAGAAAGAGAGAGAGAGAGAGAGCATCAACGAGAGACACCGCAAGATACAGATACAATGCGTGCTAGATACGTGTGTGTGTGCGCGGGATTGCGTTGTTCTTATTAACGAATCGCTGCCTTCTCACTGCTGCTGCTTTTTCGGGGCTTGGGCATAAAAAGGCGGCAAAATTTGTTGAGCATAAATATGGCCGGTCCAACTGGCCAATTTGAATGCAGGATTCGCACGTCCCAATTGTACTCACCCGCCGGTTTGGTTAGATTTAATCCACAAGATGCCAGCTACAACAGCTACCACTCCTTTTTATTGGTCGGTGCAGCAGCGTCCCCAGACGCCCTTCCTGTATCACTTAATGGCGGACGCTCTGCGTCTCCGCTTATTGCTTATCACACCCAACTGGTCACTAATTGCATTGCGCGCACTGTACGCCAGTAGTTGGCCTATTAATTAGTTTGGTTTCTATATTTTTTTAACACTTAGCACGGATCCAGAGTTTGTAGCTGTAGTTGCGAGAGGAGGAGCAAGAGAAGTGAGGCGACTGTATGTGGCGTTGCCAGATACAAAAAGAGTTTATGCGGCGGGTTGGCAGCCCCACGATGCACATAGAGATGGCAGGGCGACGATAACTAAGAACAGCGCTATCGAAAATGGCATAGCGACATAAGTCCGCGCGACATAAGTCCGCGCGACATAACTCCGCCAAAAAAAAAGCGACATAATTCCGACCGAAAAATGTAACGGGCGGATATGTCGTGGAACTTATGTCCCTATGCCATCGAAAATTAAAATAATTTTCGGACTTTTTTAAAACTTTTCCGTTATTTTTAAACTACGTAAGATATTTTGATCAACAAAACCAAGAATACACAACACGGTCTCTCTTTGATTTGCTTTTATTTAGCTTTATCGTAAAATAAATTACAAAATAAAATACATTTTGCATATAATTCGTATCCTTATATGTCTAGTACATTAATTTACTCACAAATCTTTTGGGTTAATATTGCGCTGTGCTCTTTCTTACTCATCCATTTGTTTTGTTTTCTAATGCTAAGAACCAAAAAACAAATCAGTTTTGCCGCGCCCCCCTCTTTGTGCCTATAAAGCCCGATGCCGGGGGCAAGCTAAATTATACATCGCTCATCGTATAAAGCTAACTCTAAGAAACTCTAAGAATCACACGACGAAATCATATATTAAGAAAATGGAGCGATATGAAATTAAATTCGTAACAAATGTACAAGGAATTGTTATGTTCTGGGCGCGGACGCTAAGTGAAGATTTCTTCGAGATTAAATTGATTAGAAAAGTCAATTAGAATATTTAAGCTTTATCTTGTTTTTTTTTTTACAAACAATTTCCTACTAATTGTGTGATTTTCGTTTGGCAATTGGTTACGCGTTGCATTTCCGTAGTATCTGTTGTATCTCTGTTAAAATCCCCATCCAAATCCTTGACTGCATATCGGTAGTTTCGCTTACAAGAATATACATCCTTCTCATGTATATGTAAAAAGTGGTCCTTAATTCGAGACGTGTGTGTGTGAGTGTGGTTAAAACGCTTTCTGTGTGTTCTTTTGTATATATATGTGCTTTTATGCACTTAATAATGTGAGGGCATGGATTTCTTCGTCCCAGTGCGCTGGCTAAAAAACTCTCTCGCAAAAAGTGTACTTTAACGAAATGAGGGGAAAAGGAAAGCTCTTGACAAAGAGCTCACAAGTTACGGTCGATCGGACTCACTCTACGCACTACAGAATACGGATTTTTCTTGACTTTTCTTGACTGCTGCATTAGTTTTAGTAGGCTAATATAAATCACGATAGTATGGCCACGCTGCGGCGCGGCCCGCCCTGACTGATGTTGTCCATGGAGGACCACTTTTTGATCCCGTTCTTGAGCGCCTCGGCGGTAACCTTGTCCTGCATCACCCGCGACATGGCCTCCAGCTTCTGGGCCCGCTCCTTGGACAGCGGCTCTGTGGGGAAATTGAGCTCGTTGGCCTCGGCCAGCGTTCGCAAGTCGAAGTAGTATTTGGCGTACACCGAGGATGGCACGTTGATGTTGAACTGTAGCAGCTCGAGAAACTGGCGCTCCAGCTCGTTCATGTCCTCCACGGTGATATCCTTGAGTATCTGGCAGTAGTCAACGTTCCAAACGGCCTGATCGTCCCACACTTTCGAGGCGAGCAGGATGGCACCTTGGGGAAACGAAATGTTAATAAACAAGAAATACATTAAACTTCTCCGCTTACCCAACACCATTCGCTTCCAGTTGCAGGGCCCCACATCCAGCTCAGCGTAGGTGAGCAGCCGCTCCAGGTAGACTAGCGTGATGATCGCACACTCCGCCGTCAGCTGGGCAGCGTTGAAGAGCGTGCGCACGAACTTGTAGATTTGGCGGTGCTCCGGATTGTGCGTATCATAGTTCTCCGGCACCGGATCGTGGGTGAGTGGATGCAGCTTCTCGTCGAAGATGTCGAGCCGCCGGTCCGACTGTCGGTTCTTGATGTGATAGTAAATGGCTAGAGATACGCACTTGACCGTATTCTTCAGATTCGGTTGCGAGACGGTGCTGTCGTCCAGATAAATGGTCGAGCAGGAGGAGCTCTTCTTCATGCCGCCGCCACCACCGCCGGAACTGGTGCCACCGGGTGTGCTGCCACCCCCGCCGCTTCCGGCATGCTGGGCAATCTGCTGCTGCGAGCGCTTACGCGTCATGCCGCCGTTCTCCACTTTGGATCGCTCCAGGAACATGGTGGCCGCCGTTGGATCCACCGACGGATCTTCCTCGCCTTCCAACGCCTCGCGCTCTGAGATGTGCTGCAGATTCGCCTGGTTCTCGAAGTTGTCGCCACTGCCGCCTCCCTGATTCGGCTGTTGATGATGTCCATGATGGTGATGCAGGTGCACCGCTGCCATGGAGCCGTGATGGCCGTCTGTCTGATGGTGCTGCGACGTGTGCGGCGGATGGCTTAGCTGGTGGCGCTCCTCGAACACCGGCGGCATGTCCTTGGACTTGCGGTCCGACTGCGGACTGGAGTACGCACAGCACGAGTTCTTGTTGCCCATTTTGCTGGTGTGGCTGAATGGGTTTGGTTTTGGGCGCTCAAACTAAATGCAACTTGGGTTGGCTTTTGCTTTCTTGACTAGCGGAATGGACTCCGAACCCGGACCCTGATCCTCTTCCTGACTCCTGGCAGTCGCTCACGCTCGATTCTCGCTTTTGGCACTTGGTCGTCGTGGGTCTATGTCTATGTCTATGGGCATGGCGCTGGTGTGCGTTCCTATCGCTCCACAATTACCGTTGCCGAGCGAGCGCAAGTTTCACTGCAAAGAATATAGAGATAACGGCGATTAGCGGCGGATTCTATTCGATCTTATCTGGCAAATCTCTGCTTTACTCATCCCATTAGCCCATTATTATTATTCAATTTGCTGTTCTTCTAAAAGGGTAATTGGATTTTTAGAAGCAATTTGGAAAAAGGAGGAGGGGACTGAGTCATTTCCCCTTTATTGTAGGGATATTAATTTTTAGGTCTCTTAAAGTCTCCGTAGTCATTTATGGGATACAAATTAAAGGGAAATCCGTGCCCACTACTAAACTGCTAAAGGAGATTTCTGAGATAATCATTAAATGGATAGAGGACTCTCTCTGTAGTTGTTATAACAAATTAAAGAATGGTATAGCTTTTAAGAAAGTAATAGAGTAAAATAGGAATGTCTATAAAATAGAAGATATTTATGATCTCTGTTCACGCCAGAAAGGCGCTTTTAAGAGTTTTGGTGTTGCTAATATTGTTTATGTAATATACATATATATATTATTATCCACCAATATATTATCATGAATAGCTTCGAGTGCTTAAAACACTATTATCTGATCTTAAGACATGTCACATGACGATGCATGTGACTGACAAAGTTCCAGTCAAGTTTTAGAGACAGCGGAAGACAGTCCGGGTAGGGTATTTAATATTTCGGCTTTCGCGTTGGCTTTGCCTTGCCTTATTTGACTATCTATGTATCTCGGCCGCCGACTCCGTTTATTTGCTCCGTTTATAGGCGGAATCGTTCCGGCTTAGAGGCCGGGGCCAGATTGTTAGGCGGTTGTGCAAAAAATTAATTAACCCCAGGCACGACACTCGCCTGCAAGTTGCCTAATTTGGCGAGGTCTTTGTTTTTTTTTATTTCTTTTCCCCGCCTCACGGCTGCTCCCCTTTAATTTTTTTCGGGAGGGGCGGGGCTGCGGCGAGGCTTGTGACTGTGTCTTGGCGGTTGCCGGGGACGGGTGACTGACTGAAGCGTCACCAGAAACCGATGGCCCAGTTCCAGATTAGGGTATCACCGTCAAACGGTGCTCCACCGCCTCCCCCGCACATTAATCACGGCAAAGTGAATGAATGGCAGCGCTGGCGCCGCAGTCGGCGTCGGCAGCACTGCACGGCGCTCTGCCCGGAACAGAGCAACACCCACGACCGCAAAGGAAACCCAGATTCTTTGTCCTGGACATTGGCGTCAGTCAGTACCCGGGTCTGGCTATGGTCACGAACTGGTTGGTCACTTAATTCGCCACTTTTTCACACATTTTAGTTGTTTTTCTTCCGTTTTTTAGTTTAATTACCAATAACATTCGATACTTGTAGTCGACTACTCGGTCAGTGCTGCCAGGCTAGCGTATTTCTGGCTAGATCTAGCTTATTTCAAGATAAACAAAAAAGAAAGCTAGCTTCGGCACGCCGAAGTTTGTATACCCTTGCAGTTCGTAATTGGATCATTAAGAATCGAGCCATTCTAGTTGCAGGTGTATAAAAAGCTTATAAAACATTTATTTTTAAGAAAAATTGCTAAAAATGTTTTCAGTGAAATGTTTAAATTACGAGTTCAATAACTTGATTTGATTTTATTAAACTATTTGAATATGTTCTTTATTATTGTTTATTTAAAATCCGTTAGATTAAATTTATTATGTAAGATTAACAATTCCGAGCAAAGGGGCTTTACTAGAGGGATACTTTTCTTTACCTTTTCAATGCCAAAGTTTTTAGTCTACTGAACAAAGGTTTTATAATTCCATATTAATAAAAGTGAAAACCTTAAACAAAAAAAAAAAAAAATGTTTAAGTATGAAGTTATTTGGTTTTTGGGAAATTGTTGTTTTTTTTGTAGCTAGCTAATTTGAGGGCTCATCACTAGCAAACATAAAACAGACCGTTTTAGGTACAGAAAAAAATACAAAAAGTGTGACCGTAACGCTATAGTTCTCTTAGCTTTTTATCGATAAAAAAGTTCCGTTTCGATAACGATATAGATTTCCGATAACCATGCTCTTGGCGCGTGTTTACCAATAATTCAAATAATATCTCGAAATGTGGCGGAACACCTTCTGTGTTAGTAGCCTCTTTTGCCAGAAAAAACACTCCTCCAAGTAGGTTTAATAAGAATTTTTATTAGTATATTAAAAGACATATGGTGTTTATTATAATTTACTTGAAAGTATTTCGTAATAAGCATACATCTCAGCCATATTTCTTGTTTTATCTCAAATATTTTGTTGTTGTTTACCAGCCCCGTTAGTTTTTAATGCATATTAAGTGTTGAATTTAACATAGTAGGAAAATTAAAAACACTTCATTAGTATAGGCCTTTGTTTTTTTTTTGTTTTTGCGAAAACTCGTAAAGTACACAATTAGTTGGCTTATAGTCGATATATAATAATAACTCTGGGCAATAAATGAACAGATGAAATAAAGTTATTTACAGATTTCGGAGTTGGTTTGGGATGGGTATTTCGGGTGTTATTATTCATATTATTATTTTTTGTTACCTTTAGTAAGTGTGCTCGGGTCTACATTATTTGCATTCTGTGTTTTTGTACACAAAATGTATATTTTTTAAGGGTTTTTTTTTTATATTTAAATAGTGTAGATTATTTAAACGTAATGATTGCTTTCAACTTATTTACTTTTATTTTATTTTTATGCCTGTGTGTAGCCCACATATATTGATCCTTCGGCTAGGGGTAAGGATTTTCTTTTCGGGAATGTGGCTGGAATTATATAGGTTTGTCGTTTACATTTCTTTATGTGACTTTATGTTACTACTAGGCTACATTTTGCTAATAACATTGAATCGTAAACCTCATATACATATATCATCCAAATATGCACGAGTTCGATTAGTTTTCCCGTAGTTAGCTTTTCGATTTTTCAACAGAGATAAATAACAATTTTTGCATGTTTTTTGGTTGCTTGCCTCGAACCGAGAGTTAACCCTATTTAACCAGGACTTTGTACAGATTTATATGAGAGAGGGTATGCTATATATAAACGATATATATGCGCATCGCTTTGAGCGTTCAAGTTTGATATACAATAACATACAATGCTCGTAATTACATAGTTATATTTAGATATTCTGGGCGCTATATTTATATTTTCGTGGTTAGGATTACATTATTCTGTTTTTTCGGTCTGTGTTTGATTTTAGGTTTTTGTTTTTAGTTTTTAGGTGTTAGTTTTTAGTTTTTTTTGTGGCTACTAAGTAAGTAGACCTGCTTCCGCTATACACATCGTCGGCATATGTTCGGTTTACCACTTGTTCGTACATTTATTGACTACCTTAATAAAGCTATGATCCCAATTTCAGCTGATAATTTGGTACCTTACTGCTAAGCACCTTTACCACTGCCCTTTGACGCCATCTGTCCGTCCGGGTTTTCCCCTCTGTGTTTTCCTTTCCCACAACGCTGGTAAAGAGCAGTGGTAAATCTTAAAAGAATGGTCCCGCTATCAGACATTTTGAAAAACGTTTGAAAACATTTCAAGTTGGTTAAAGTAAAGAAAAACATCCGAACGAAAGGAAATCAAAATCCGCTGCGACTCAAGCCTCCCACCTCCCTCTGTCCAACTTTCGTCTTTCGCCTCACCACGTATAAAAATAAACATATGTTTTGTTGTAGAAACGTGACTATTATATCCTTAACAATATACATATTAAATATCCTTTAGGTAGCTATGTGCATTTGTAGAGTGGAAAAGTTACGAAATCCTTTGTCTCGGCTCGAAGGAAAGTCTGTTAGTGGTTAGTGGAGAGAGAGCGTATATATACAAGTCATACAGCTAGGTTTGTCAGGTATTTTTTGGTTTAATTTTTTAGTTTTAGGTACTTAAGATCTACCCAGCTCCCCAAAACCTAAAATTGAGCAATTTGAATCCTTCGTAAATGCAAAACACACGTTCAAAACTGAAAAGGGATAAGAAAATAAATGGAAACGATTACAAAAATATGTATATTTAATCGGAAAGAAAGTTAAATACATCAAACTTATAGAAATCATATATAGTAAATTCCACATTTCACTAAAAACTAACAAAAGACACGCAGATACGTATACGTACAACTGAAGTCTAAGTATAAATGCTCGAAACGAACCAACAAATTCACAACAAATTCAACTCCTTCGCTATTTACAAACTGGAACTTTACTCGTTTCATTTTGTTTGTTTCTTTTGCTTTAAACTTTTGTGCTTATTTATCGCTTGCAACAACAAAGTATACAGTATTTGTACATAAACATATATCGATATTTATGCCTATATAGATGATGTAAGTCTAACACTACCACAATTCACATAGAGAGCGCATCTGAAGCGGTTTGTTACTAATTAAGAGTTCTATGCTGCTTCTAAGCTTAGTAAACAATATTCATTTGCCTATTTGCCTTTCTGGGAATATTCTCCATCGGTTGTTTTTCATCTGTACTAATCCGTTTCCGTTTCCAAGTTTCTCTTAATTTTCAGTAATTTAAGTGGCAGCAGCCTCTTCGCCAGCAGCTGCAGCGACACCTGCCGGATCCGCCGCGACCGCTGCCGCCGACTCGGTTTGCTCGCCATCGCCACCGCCACTGCCCGCTTCCGTTTCCGCCGCGACAGGCTTGTTCTCTCCCTCTTCCGCCGCCGCTGCTGCTGCGGCTGCTGCTTCCTCTGCCGCGGTGGCCAGTGCACGAGCTTCGGCATCTGCAACATGGAAATATTTTTCAGAATTTTTTCGTACATTTTATTATCTAATTAAACATAAATAAGGAAGCACTTACGGACTTTGAAAATATAGCAATATGGGAAGCTAGGGTTATTTTACAGTTTCTCCATTTATTTAATTAATTAGCACAGCATTGAGTGCTTTAAAATCAAATTGAAATTTATTTATATGTAGAAAAAATGTAAGCAATTCATTAAACAAAGCAAGTCTTAAGAAATCTGAGATACTATAAAAGATTTATTTTTCCCATTTTTAATATAATTTTCAAAGTTTATAATATATTATTTTCCTATCTTCACAGCATTCGGCACATCAATTGTTTAGTTTTAAATGGGACTTTGCATGTCTTGGGCACCTGGAGACTCTTCTTAAATCTTCTAATGACTTTTCGTTCGCCGTTCCACGAGCTCTGCGTAAGAAGGTTTATGCATGAATAATAAACGCTGTAGCCAAGGCTAAGATCAAAGGGAAGGACAGGTCAAACCCAATTAGCGCTGCTAATGTGACTACAAAAAGCGGCCAAAGTCAGCAGGCAATTAATATGATAATGAAAGGAGCATTACACTACAGGAAAAGCTGGCTAGCATTTAATTAGTTTTATATATCTTAATTAATTAAAGATTTAATGAGATATACCTCAACTACAACTCTTTTAGTAGCCCTAGCCAAAAAGCTTAGTCTAATATAATATTATATATATATAATAATATTTTAGAGTAAAAACAAAAATCGTAACACCTACCTTTGACGGCCTGCTCCTTCCAGATCTTCTTGTTCTCCACCAAGCACGAGAGCCATGGCTTGTGTATGGTAAACTTGGTTGGATTGTTAACCATGCCGCTCTTGCGGGCTAAGAACTCGCCAGTCTTGGCTTCGGTGCTGGAGGTCGTCGCTAAGGGAGAAGCCTCGTGCTCGACCAGGGTCGCTGGCTTGCCCTTAGAGATCGGAGCAATGGGGGCTAGAATGTACTCGAGCATGTCGGACATAACGCCCATGCTGGGCTCTACAATGAAGTCGATGAAACAGATCTGCGACTCTGCCACCAGAGTGTTGTTACGGTCACAGAGCGGACTGAAGGGCAGACCCAGCTCCTTCTCAAGATCGCCCTGGCGGAAGAACTCCTCCAGCAGCAGCATCGTCCAGCGCTGATGGACGCCCCACTGCTTCGCCGGATGCGAGATATCACAGCAGTGGAGCACCAGAGACAGTACCTTTTGCTTATCGATGGTCGCCTCCTGGATCGTGAGCAGCTGCCGCATGGCCTTCATCTGCTGGAAGTGGTTGGTCATGTCGGTGCCAAGCACCATCTCGATGACCAGGGAGCGCAGTTCGCGGAACTCTTCGCGCGACAAATGCGACAGGATGTTATACTCATCCTCACGCAGCAGCCGGAAGCTGGCGCTGGCATGGTGATTCTCCAGCACCGCCCGGTCGTTGTACAGCAGTGCCGTTTCCGAGCCGGACATCACGTGGAAGTTGTTGGTGGTGCCCGTGTGCTCGTAGTCGTGCAGCAGGGCCGCCAGCAGCGAGGCAAAGATCTCGAGGTCCGTCAGCCAGTTCATCAGGCCGGTGTTGCACAAGCAATAGTGGATCGTCTGCATCACGTCCACCGCATGCAGATTGTTGTGGTACGGATTCCGGTACCGGCAGTAACCCTCCTCCACGCGGTACAGGAACGCCTCTAGTATTCCCGGCGCGATCTTGAACTTGTGGATCGATCCGTAGCGGTTGAACAGCTCATAAGCCACGTACTTTACCACCTGTCCGCTGGCTGCCTCCGTCAAAGCAAATACATCAAATGTCCAGTCGTCGAGGTTCTGTGAAAGGGAGAAGGGTCAATGTTGTATAAATATCCTTGATATTAATGGTATTTGTATATTTGTTTCATTAGTTTGAAAGCTAAAACTCGCATTATAAGTACGTTTTTCCAACAAGACATTTTTTAATATTTATTACTCATACGCACTGTTGCCTATAGTATGTTTATGATGTAACTATGATTAAAAGAAAACTCAAAACTAACATGGTTTCATTTTAACAGTCAGTAACTATTATCTTTCTTCAAATCAAAACCCACGTCACAACCCAAATTAAAGCTATTTAATGGAAAGGAAACTCTTAAATTGTTGCCACATTTAATGTCACCTGCATGAATACACTTTTCGCACTCACCTTGAGCATCCTGACCACGTCCGGTGGGAAGGCCGTAAGGGCCGAGCTGGAGACGCGTCGGTACATGCGGTCCACAAAGATGCCAGCGCGGATGGCATGGGCCACCGATCGGAACTTGGGCTTCTCGTCGCTCTTGCGCCGGCTGGTGGCCATCTGGCGGGTGAAGGTCGAGGCCAACCACTCGCGCACCTCCGGCGGCACTGCATCGGGCTGCACTTCCGACAGCTCATCGTCCTCGTCCGCCAGGCGCCTGCACAGATGGGTTTTCGGGGAAAGAGAAATTCACTAGTTAGTTTGATTGCATTGAAACTCCTTTTCCGGGTTAATCAGTTACCAAAAAACAATACTCAATAAATGTACAAAAATTAAACCGAATCTTTAATTGGTTATCAGCTTTTGAGTTCGATAAGCTCAAGTTAAATTCAACTCAAATGAAAGCCAAGTTTATACAATAAAAAGATAAGAGAAAATTAAAAATAAAATTAAAGTCATTGTGTGGCTTACAATTTGGCACGGAAAAAGGAAAGTTTTCTCTTCGGGGTAGAAACGAAAGTTTAGTTTTTTTGTGTAGAAACTTTAAAGTTAGTGAGTTGGTTTTGATTAAGGTAACAGTTATAATAGATACAGATACAAAGATACAGTTGCTTTAGCTAGTTAACATCTCTATAGAGGGTCTGGGAATGGTGGAATGGGTTCATCGGTGTTCGGAGGGAAGGTGCAAGAGTTTGCTATTTGGCAAAAAGCTAACAAAGGCAGGCAGCAGCAGCATGCTTTTCGTGTGGCAGGTGGGTGTTATGGTGGGCATGGTTGTTGTGGAATTTCTTAATTGCATGCCAAGTATGTATGTATGTGTTATGTATCTCTGTGCTTAGTAGGTGCAACATCAAAAACGTCAAGAACAGCAACGGCAACGGCAACAACTAGAAGTACTCGTGCGCTGGAGGGTACAACAAGTACTCGCCAAAGTTGTCACCAAATCACTCTGTAAACTTTCAATCAATAAAAGGAATAGAAGGTACCCAAAGAAAATCGAAACGAACCCGAAGGACTTCCTAATTGGTTCATACGCACATGTTTGAATCTCCACTAATTGGTCTATTATGGACGGGAGTGTTCTCCTCTTTGTCAGAGACCCAATCAATGGATTTCCATGCCAACACTCAATCTTGTTTGACCCCAACTCAGATTTCGTTTAAAAATAATATATACACCGTAAATACAAGAAGGCCAATAAGATTGTAAATATACTTTATGATTAATGTTGTTTAACAAATTGGGAGTAAAATTTATTTAAATAGAATTAGTAGAGTTGTTTTAAGAAAGGCTTAATGATAAAATTTATATTCAAAATATTTACATTTAATAACAGGGTTTTATATAGTTTCATGACCTTGATATAATATTTGTAAATTAAATAATTTATATAAAATATGATATCTATTAGAGAGTATTATTTTCATTTTTTTTTTCTTTAAGCTCACAAATAATTTCTTAAATCTTGCATTTTTTTAAATAAAACAGAACAATTTTTTTTTTTTTAATTTGTTTTCATAGAAAACGAAATTATTTTGCCTGTTTCCCTACAATTTAAATTTCAATTGAATTAGTTTATATACTCCACCAACTTTAATGTAGCCAACCTTTTGCTAAGAAAATGTCAAGTATCAAATATCAATTTCTATAAAATTTCAAACAAAGCTTGAATTTGTTCCTGGAAAAAATATTTTCTTCTAATTTCTCTCGACATTTTCTTCTTTGCCAAAGCTTCAAAGCACTTAAGCGCTCTTTAGAAGCCTGGAAAAAGCGGATGGAGACGGAGTGCGTGGCCAGGAGACTGTCTGAAGCGCTTTTGACTTGAGCAAATTAGCGGCAGATTCAATTATGGTTAATTAGACCAACTTCAGAGCTCAGACAGTGGCCTCATCCTCCTATCCGCGCACAACTAAGCCACGAAGCTGGCAGATAAGTAGCTCTTGTCTTATGGTATGACACGAGCTGATGCCAACCACTGTGCCGGGTTATGTGACCACATCATTAATGCCAAGCCACAAGATTTGCGGTGTTAAGTAAGAGGTAGGAATTCCAAGATGTAATTAGTGGCTGTCCCGTAACTAACTAGGTGTTTTGGTTAACCTAAACAATTTTTTAAAATTAAATATGATACGTTGGAAAAGAACTCTGTGTTAGGCAATATTTGACTTGAAAATACTATTTTATTTTCAGCAAATAAATGCAAAATGAATTAGTAAACGTCTTAGAACTGTAGTATTTCCTAGCAATTGAAAGGACAAGGCTTCTTGCAGTTAATATTATATGAAATTAATCTTATTCTCAGAAGGGGGTCTTAAGAAAAGGTTACAGGTAAATGAATTCCTTGGTAAGAGCTTAACACCTCTTATTTATTTATGGAAATTATATTCAACTGTTTTTATTAACTAACTGTAGTTGGTTTTTAAGAAAACGACGTAATTTCTTTTATTATAATGTAAGCATGATCTCAAAGAAATCTTTTAAAAATTACCACGGAATAAGGAAATGTTTTTATATTACTAAAATTACTAAAAAATTACATATAACTCTTAATTTAATAAACATTTTTGGTTATCAAGTTAAGAAAAAAGCACATCAAATTCCAGCCCTTTGAATAACCTTTTCCTCTCATTTTTTGTCAACTTCCTGTTCAAATAATTTCATTTCAACACTGCCAAAACGCAGGACTCTCCTCCCCCCCCCCACCACATAACCACCATTGTCCTTACATAACAGTCCCCATAAACTGTGGCAACCATTTGTCATGTGAATTTATTTTCTGTGCATTTCCTAGCCAGTGCCAGAGTATATATTGTTGCGGTTGGGATGTTTATTTGGCCAACCAAGCTTGGCTTTGTTCTACTTGGTAAGGATTTGCTTGGGGTTTTTTTTTAAAGAATTATTTTGTAATTAATACCATTCGGAGAGCAGGGCATGCTGCATTTCAGAGACACAAAACATGGCTTTTCTTTTTTTAAATTTAGTTTTTAAAAACCGAACACACACTTGGACTGCACCTTTTCTTCTTCTCCTGCGTCTCCTTGGCGCGATACTGAATTATGAACTGTATCAGTTCGACGGTGATGACGCTTTGTCGGCTGCTTTCACGCCTCAGACGACTCATGGCGCGAACGGCGGCAACGACCACGATGGTAATGACGGTCAGCCGGCTGAAGCGGCTCTCCGTTGGCTCCGATGGCTCCGTTGGCACCGGATCCGGGCACTCTGCGTAAACTCCTGATGGCTCAGATAGAACAACACCCACCTCGTTGTCGCCCGGTTTCAACATGGAGCCCAAATGGGGAATTGACTTTGGGGCAATGTCGCGCCCGGGGTTTTTTGTTGTTTTTTTTTTGTGTCACTTGAAATTAATACATCATCTTTTCGCGCAGCGGGGTATTCCCCTTCATTCACCGTCCTTCACTTTTCGTAATTAGCTGGCAAAACAAAATGCGCTTTTAATGACGGGACAACAACCAATATTTGTGCAGCACTTTTTTGTATATATATATTTTTTTTTTTCAGGTCGGAACGGAACAGAGCGGAGTTCTTTCTTTTTTGCCGCTCGGCCAGCTCTTTGCTCGATTTTCGTGTACTTGGCCCGCCGCGAGTTAAATTTAAACTGAATGGGCTCTGGCGGTCCGGAGAGTGCCAGCGAAAACCAGCCCTCAAGTGGTTAGCGAAAATTATTTGGCCACAAGAAGCCATTTCTAGGGCTCCACTTGCGTGCCGGAGTATGGAGCACGGACGAGCGAACTAGGAGCCAGGAGCCAGGAGTCCGCAGTTCGCAGGAGAGTCCCTGGCTCAGCAGGATTGCGTGTACATAGCTCGGCACACGCCAACTGCAGGACGAAAAAGTAACGAAAAAATTGCGCCGGTTTGGGGGGGAAAATGGGGAAAAAGGAACTTGGAGAAAACTGTTCTAGGTGGCCCATATCAATTATGTCAGCAGTAAGACATCGCCGAGTCATGCCAAGCCCAGAAGCACAACTATTATGTACCAAAAGGGCAGGCACTGAGAGAAAATGTACAGAATAAGATGTCACTAATAAAAATTGTTTTAGATATAATGTTTTTATAATACAATAACTTAAATATTAAATTTCTTTTTCTTATCACCTTTGTTTGTAAATACGAAAATATATTTAAGATTTTAAAAGTTCTAGAAGGTTGAAGCTGTATTCAAACTTGGGAATTATAAGTTTAAAGTTAGCTAGAAGGACATGATATTTATTAGTCTAATTTGTAGGATGAACTGCCTCAAGTAAGAATAATTCAGATCTCGTTTAACAAGTTTTTAAGTGGAAAATTGTAAAACTAATTAAGAAAATTTTAAATCTAAATAGAAATATAATAAGCTTAATTCTTCAATTTAAAATTAATAAATCCTTTCTTCTCTCAGTGTATTCCCAAAGCTGGAACGCGTCCACTCAAGCATGTATATATATTTTTACTACTATTTCCCACAAAACAATTACACAAAATGCTAAAAGGCATCCCGCAAAACAATAGCAACAAAGTAGCACTATCCGGGAGGAGAGCGCTGTAATATTTAGCAGTCGTGAAGGGAATAACTGGAGCCTGATAAACACGACAACGTCACGAATTCATTTCAACAGAAGAATAACAAAATTCGGAGCAGGCAGCAAAAGTATCTGTGACTGAAAGTAACTTCCTTTCGGGGGCCTTGACGTTTGCCTCTTGTTTAATGACTTGCCACGACCCCCTTCTGCTCTAGGGAAGCAAGGAAGGAAGGGTTCAAGGTGGTGGTGGCTTGGGTGGCCATAAAATTCGGGCTAGAGAAGCCAACACAATACCCCAATTTCTTTTGCCAATTGCATTCAATTCGTGAGCACTCTCCTTATTTTCTTTTGATTCAATTTCATTTCTTGAGCGTGCGGCAAATTGCGTGTTGCGGCGTTTGTTGGAATAAATTGCATCAGTTATTGGCACATTTGCATGATTTCTCTATAAGCATTCCCGGGACTTACCCTTCCCCTCACCCGGTGATATGCATTTTGCCAGCACGCAAGCTTTAATCTTGCGAAAAACTGCTGAAAGCCTGCAACAGGTTGCGTGGAAATTGCAGCTCTTGCACTGCCACGAAAATGCTAGCAAAGTGCATGAATAATTAATTTCACTCGTTTTTAGCCAGAGATTTGCCATGTGCAGAAGTGCAACCTTACAAATGCATTTTAATTACTTAGCCATGGGTGGTTT